TTTTTCCTATAGAGATATCCTGAAAAAATTAAATGAAAGCAATATCGGAGCACTGCTTCTTTCTGATACAGATCTATAAGCAAACTCACCTGACTTGTTGGTCCTAACTAGTATTGTCTGCATGCCCATAGCTAATGTACTACACATTAAATTGCTCTCAGAGTATACAAACGCTCCTTACAGATAGTAATAATTTCTGAGTTCACTCAAATGCCTTATTAGATTCTCCTTCCAAGCTGAAGTTCACTTTTCTTTATGTCTTTTGATTATTACAGAGGAAGGCAAGGTCAGAAGTTTCCAAAAGTGACTGCCTGGAACTTTAATAGCCCCTAGTAATTAAAATCCATGACAGTTTACAACGGTCACTGTTCAATTGGAAAGACTTGAGCTCTCCACGTGTCAGTCACAGAAAAGGGTCTCTTTCCCATGCCCCATTATTAATCCTTATTCTTTTAGCCTGCCCAGTTGGGATGGCAGGATCCTAGGCCCCCATTCCCCCCCTGTAGGCTGCATGAAATCCAGGGCAAAGAGTTTATCAGCTCTCAGCTGAACACTGCATCCTGCAAAAATGAAAAAGATCTTGTCATCTTTTGTCACCTTTTGTCATCTTTTGTCTTTGTTTGCTCTGTGGGGTAAACAAATGAACAGGGGACTTGGGACTTACTAACAGAGCCCTGCTTCTCTACAGTCTCAGGAAACATGGTCATTGCCATCTTTGCTGAGAAACACCCAGTAGTTCAAATTTACACAGTGCGTGTTTGGTGTCCATTCATTTAAGCCAAGCATGCCAACATTATGCATTCATTTGGCCCATGAGGTCTCCTCATTCATAAAAAAAACCCCAAAAAAACCCAGAGGCCTGGCTACCCAATTGCTCTAATTATTTAAAGAAGTTTCTGATGCTGGCAAGGGCTACAGCATACATAATTCAGCCTCCCTACCTTTCTCAAACACTAGACAAACACGTCAGTGTATTTTATATAAGCCCTACAGGACACTGGTTATTTTATTTACCTGAGGTCAATTTTGATATTAGTGCAGCTAAAGCCAAACAATGTTAACCCCCTAGTAGCCTTGTCATTCCAATTATACTTTCAGTTTCCTACTGTGTTGTCCCCATGGCTTGTTTTCTTCAGTAATAAATAGTTTTCAAGCACAATTTACCCGAAGTGTAATAATGCATAGGTCAAGATTTTATTTCACAGAGTTTGAGAAATGTAGAAGAACTGCAGAATTTGAACTCCACTGACACTTGTTAGGAGTTAACACTAACGTGTGACAGTGCTGTCTTTGAACAGAGCCAGCACTGCCAAGCTGTGCGTGACATCTTGAGGTGCTGTAAGATTCTGCTCTGTGATTCCTGTGGTAGTATTTGACTGAACAGGCTTGAGGGTAATTGTTTGAGAGCAGAAAACTTGTTCCTTTGTGTTTAAACACCTGAATGGGATTAGATGTGACATAGCTATGTGTCATCTTGCAGAAATCACTTTTCTCTGTTTTCTGTCCTTTTATGCAGAGTCAGGACTGACTTAGTAAGCCTATGGTGGTCAGCTGAGAACATACGTTCAACATTTCTGTGTAATGATCACAGGCCAGTTAGCTCAGTCCTGGGTCACTTTGATTCCTTATATATTCCCTACTCATAACCTGGAGAGCAAATGATTTAATGATTTTAGCAGTGTGGCCACAGCCCCACGCCAGAAGAGCAGTGTTGAGTGTCACAAGTGGGACAAAATGTGTGAGATTATCTGTACTTTCCCACTAAAAATTTCCCAGACAAAGTCTGGATTCCTCTAAAAATTGTGCAGGCATATCTTGTTCTATAACATGGATGAAGATGATTTTCCTTGTCTATGCCTACACCTATGGAGTCAGAATTTCCTTCTGAGTGTTGGGGAAATGAGCATGGCAGGTTGCGCTGCAGAAAACACCTGTTCCACAGGATCTCTATAGCTGTCATCACTTTGTACAGATTTCTTGGAAGCAATTTATGGCCTTTGAAGTCATCATCCTCTGCTCTCGCTTATATTTTAACCTACTATATGAACCTACTACATAGTAAAAACTTGTTCTCTTCCCCTTTCTGCAAAAGTTTGACCTGTTCATGTAAATCACTAAAGAAAGATCATCAATGAACAAAAGATTATGGACTAAGTCAGTAACAAACTTGGACTGAATTTGGACATGCAAGTGCAAAACTACAGCCGTCTCTGATGGTAACCTCACAGCTGCCTCAGCTCTGGGACCATACCAGTTCATGAGCATTAAACCCAAAACATGTGAGTTTATTTGCATTTCCAAATAGGTGAGGTTTCCCTTATTTCATTTATCTATGCATCACTGCATGCAGAGGGGGAGAAACATGAGGGATCTTACATTTTTGTGTTGGCTGAAGCATGTAACTACTCGTTATATTACGAACCAAAGCTTTTTTAAAAATGTTGAAGTCAGATTTGTAATGAGGATTAGACTAAAGGCAGTGAGCTTCCCTGCAATGAAGTCAGATTTTCTGTTGTTACCCACCAAGGCCTTTATCCAGCTTTTACCCAAAGCAATGTTTTTTTAAACAAACACTGTGTGCCTTGAAAAATCTGCATGACACATTATCTCAAATGAAGATTTATTTAAGAGACTAAGGTCCATCAGCAAGTGTCTGGTCTTCCAGACACTTCTGCTATCTCTGTTTATAAACACCAAACTTCCTTACTGAGTCTTGGCTAGATTATCTCCTCTGTCAGTGCTAATATTGCTTACACACATCATCTCTCTCTTTCTGCTATTTTATCTTCCAGAGAGAAGGTAATATCTGAGTAGATAATAATTCAGTGTGGTTACTAAATTTTCCTCAAAAATTAAGGACCTACTCAAGCTGTCTTTGAAACCAAAGTATTTCTTCTCTCTACTCTTATTCATTGGCTGTTTCATTAAGACTTTCAGGGAATAGGTTAGAGGTCTGCGTTCCATTGCTTTCAGGCTTCTTTTCAATGGATCATGCTAAATCCTTCTTTAACTTACAAGGAAATGGAAATACAGCATAGTAAAACTTAAAAACCATTACCACAAACAATACTAACAGCAGAAAACAGACTAGAAGCAATGGTGGGAGACAGGAACACATACATATACAGAGCATTTGTCCTTCCCCTGGACAATTGTGTTCAATAACTATTGTCTTCAAAGTAGTGGCTTCCTGACTGCATGGTCACCCCTTTTGCAAATAAATCTTTCCCTCTGGCAAGTCCCAGCAGCAAAATGGAGCCATTCAATGTGGTCCACCTCTTGCTCCTGCGCTTTGTGTTGCCAGCTCTTGGGTGGCTGGAAATGGTGTCAGGAAAGAGCACAGGCAACAGTACTCAGAAATGTTGTGATAAAAAGAGATAGTTAGTGCCCTCCTCAGTGTTTTGTTTTGATACTCATCAGCTCTCCATGACAAATGACTATAAGAGGCTGAAAACCCTGAAGAACAACAAACTGGACAGTTTTTCTTATTCTGCCCACTTAGAGTTTCTGTTCACAGTTCCCAGGATGCTCATTTCCAGGATGCCAGGTTAGCTCACAGGCAGCACTGCAGAAATGTGCCAACCCACTGGCAGCATCCTTGACTCCAAGCCATGAGCAGAGGCAGCCAGGCTGGGAGAGGGCAGGTGGGTGCAGCGTGGACCATTGCTGTGTTATCCTTTTGCCCATGAATTACCTGAAGAATTAAATCTCACAAAGCCTTATGAAAAGAGCCATGATATTCTGCAAGTTTTAACTTGAATTAATAAGAAATTTGGGGGTTGTAGGTTTTTAAGTAGATATTTAAGGTAGGTCTACTAAAAGATTTCCTGACTGAAGAGGCTTCCTGCCAGTCCAGTGCATTCTGACTCACAAGCAATTACCATGGCAAGCCTGAACTTCTGTATTAAGAGAATCAAATGAATTTATGGATCATTACATCTTAGTAACACAGTTGGAACTTCCTGGTAAACTTTTGATATTGTACTGTTTATTAATATGCTGAACTGTTACACAGTTTCTGTAAGTACTGGAGTAGAGATTTACAAGTATCTGGTAATCATTTTCACTTAAAACCAGGTAATCACTTTCTCCTAAACTAAATATATTTAGGAGATTATTGCATCATGAATTGCATGTCTTTCTAAAGTGTATTTTGAACTCCATCTCCTCTATTTGTACTAGATTTTTTTTCAGCAATGATCTTAGATAAGACAGTGTATGTTCCCTCATTTATGTTATCTATGCACTTCTGAATACCTAGATGTAATTGAAAATTATAGTTTGCATTCCAGCATCCTGGAATATGACAGCAGCACTTCCTATGATAATCTTGTAAATGCTGTGATTTTGATTCTCTCAATGAATTTTTCTTCTTAAATTTATCCAATCATTTTAGGAGATTTGTGTAGATATATTCAAAGAAATTAGTAATTTTGTATGTCTCACTTGGCCAGGTCAAACTTAATGAGTGCCAGTTAGGAGCCTTTGAGAGCATTTTATGAAATTCTCAAACCCAACTGGAGAAAGAACTCTCATGCCATACTTCTACCTCTCTATGCCCAGACTCACAGACTTTCTCTGTCACAAATCCTCTGACCTCAGGGAAACTGTTGAGGGAATACGATGCTATTCACATTAGTAAAGGTAAAACAGTCTGTCTCTTCAAAAGATATTTTTCTCTTTAAACCTGATCTGCACCTAACTAATCTGGTAGTTAAAATCTTTAGAGCTGTGTTAGTTCTGTTAGTTCTTGTCCTTTCACTACAATGCTGAACTGAATGGAAGACAAAAAGATTCAACCAAAACATCAGTCGAGTAAAGCTTCACTTCCCAAAAGAGAAAAACTTGACAAATCTGACAGGCTAGTGCAAAAGGAGCACAGAAATCCCTACCAAAAATATGTGGGAGGGAACATATATTTAAAATAGGACTGCCTAATTCAGCTGCTAAATCAGTGTAAGGAGCTCTGTGTCTGTGTGTGCGGGAGGGAGAGGGAAAGACAGAGGGAGGGAGACAGAGAGGGAGAGAGGAGCAGAGAGAGGGAGGGCAAGAGAGAGAGAGAGCAATGTGCCTTTCACAGAGCTGGGAGCTTGATGGGAATGTTTGATTAGCTCCCCTCTGAAAGAAAAAAGGTGACCAGGCCTCCCTCTGCTGCCTGCTTCTCCTTCTGTAGAATAATGTTGGCTGGAGTTTGGGGTACAGAAAAGCTTGGAAAAAATAGCACTTTCATACTGTGTGGAGAAAAGGAATAAAAAGTTGCACACCTCAAGCAAGGTAATTCTCATGTAATTTCTCTGCTATATTTATTTAGGGGGTAGAGGGGGAAGATTTTATTTTTTTTTTCATGTTGATAATAGTTAAATATTTTCACTGCTGAGAAACTGTAGGGACATAATGTTTTATTTAACATTCCAGCTGTGTGCTTAGGATCAAAGACTTAAGAAGATGAAGACACAAATGTAGAATGAAACTGTACTTTACATTATATATACTTCATAAAGTATTTATAAAAGCATTAAGCTCCTGTTGTTAGAGTGGACACATATACTCACTGCCTGAACAGCAAGGGCTTAACTATGTGCTAAGGAATGGTGTATATAAGCCACACACCAATAGCATTTATATGCCTTCTGTTGAAATAGTGTGTGATAGGCAATGCAACTTGTTCCTAAATTTAAAACGGTTTTGCTTTCAATACTTTGTCTCTTTGATAAATAGGAAGGTGTGTGTTGTATCATTAATTAACACTTCCTGACTCTTGGGAACACTCATCTCCAAGGTACAGGATGGTACTATTCCGGTGATGTGTATTTCTTTGATGTGAACTCCCTTGCTAGATGGATAGATACAGATGTATGAACAGTACAGTAGCCTAGACACTATACATCCTTTTGTGCTGAGTGCTTGTTTTGCTGGTGAGGCTCCAAAAATGAATAGCATTGTCAAGCCTGCCAGAGCCGTTCAGCTCTCTGTGGAGAGATTAGAGTCTTGATAAGTCTCTTCGAAATGTGATTTCTCTCAGACTAGTACAAACATGAACCAAACACCCCGAGCAAACTTTCAACTCTAGTTAATATTTTGTTCCTAGAGTTTATGGGAACTATGCCACATTTAGAGCAAACCGCAGAATTACAGATTACAGAGGCAGGTCCTCCTTGGATCACACTTCTCTTTCTCTAACCTCTCCAAAATTTAAACAAAACACCATAACAAGAAAGCACACGCAGAGAAAAAGTAGTTCAGATGGCTTTTAAAATACATGTTACTGAGATTAGCCATATATGTTTATAGTTTGTATTTTACTTTAGACATCCCAAATTTAAAGACACCTTGCATTTGACTACACTCACAGAAAGTCTATGTTTTTCTGTATCTGTAGTATCATGTTCTTCTGGCTTTACTCAGTTCATCACTTGAATGGGAGTCATGGCTATAAGACTAATCTCTTTCAGAGATGCGAAGAGAGCTCTAGCAAAAATAACTGCATCACACACACATACATAATAATTTTCAAATATTAAATTAGTATCTTATTTTAAACAGACTTATTTTACTTGCATGTTTTATCTAATCCTTTGAGTTGCTGAAGTGGTTCTCACTGGAATGACAGAAAAGTCTTGCCATCTTTCATCTATTCAAACCAGATAAATTTTTTTTTAAAGAAACTTTTACTGTCCTGACAATATAACTGAATATTGCTTTGTGTTTCCACCTATAGAAGTATTGTTGTGTTCTTAATTTGCTCTTAACTTTTTCTTACCTTTACTTTATGTAAGACACTTCTTTTCCTAGTGGTATTATTACACATTACTCACCACTGGCTGGTCAAATCAAGCAGTTTTACTAGCTGTACCAGGTTTCCTCACACTTGGAATGCATGAAAGATATCCTGTGTGGATTTTCTTGTGTTCTAGTAAAGCCTTTTGTTTAGAGGAGACATTAACAAGGTGTTCCTTCTTCACCCAGCTACTTAATTTCACAGAAGTAGAGGGAAATTAATTTTTACACTCCTTTTTGTCAAAATTAATTGGAGTATTTCTAAAAGGGGATTGCCTGAGCCACAGTATGAACACAGAAGCTAGGAAAACAGGGTAATTACTCCATGTGAAACATCAGATTATTTATTATTTCTGGTCAATGCTTTTTGGAAAACATTGTTAAAAATAAACCTGAAGTTCATGTAACAATAACAGAAAAAACTTGACTGTATCTTGTCTGTCTGGAGAATTTGAATGTTTTCCTTTCCACGTTTGAATCACAAAAAAAAGCAGTAGTCAGAAAATATTGCCCAGGAACTTTTCATGTTAACCTAAGGCTCAGAATATGCATGTTCAAGTCTCCTGTTTTACCAAAAGTCTCCTAAATCACAGAATCATAGAATGGTTTGGGTTGGAAGGAACCTCAAAGACCATCTAGTTTCCAACCCCCGTGCCATGAGCAGGGACAACTTCCACCAGACCAGGTTACTCAAAGCCCCATCCAACCTAGCCTTGAACATCTCCAGGGATGTGGCATCTGCAGTTTGTCTGGGCAACCTTTCCTGGTGCCTCATTACTCTCATGGTGAAGAATTTCTTCCTAATATCTAGTCTAAACCTACTAATCTTTCAGTTGAAATGACATAAGCGAGTCATTTAAAGCACCTGGATGAAATGAGGAAGAAAAAGTGATAGCTCAATTTACTATCTGCAGCTATGACTGTATACCTGAAAAAAAAAAAAAAAAAGGTTTGACACTCACAGGCATGAACTCCCCAAACAGTGGTACTGGCATGAGTAGGTGCCAGAGCAGTGAGGAGTGTGTTGGCCCATTGCAATTGGGTGGGGTGGCAGTGTATTTTCTGGATGGGTGGTGGAAAGCAATAGTCTGGGATTTCCTGATGGTTCTGCGGGATGTTCTGGCCCCCTGAAGTTCTGGGTATGCCAGGACTTCTCTGGCAGACTGCAGCATGAACTGAAGTTTAGACCTCACCTTCAGGGCTCAGGAAGTGGGCACTGAAGGACGTATGTCGTCATAAAGGTCTCTGATGGAAAACAGAAACACAGAACAAAACAAAAATAAATGCAAAACTGGAGCTTTGGGGCTTTTTTTTTCTTTTTTTTTTTTTCTTCTATTTTCTTTTTTAAGAAAAGAAAAATAATAATCATAGCATTTATTTTACATAAGGCCAGGGAGGATGCAGCTACAGACCTCTACACCTTTCTCTTATGGAGTAGTTTTTAAGTGCGGAGTCGGAGAGAGAAATAGGTGCTTAACACCTACTTAGAGCACTTCAATTCCTCTTTTGAACTTGCCGGGGCACAAGGAGCCCTCTTGTCCCAGCGCTGCCTGGGGAGCCTGTGCTAGAGCTCAGCTGGGACCTGGGACAATGCAGCCCCTGTTCTGGGCCCGGCTGTCGCACAGAGACTATAATTATCTCTCTTCTAATGACCAGCCAGGCAAGATAACAGTTTTCATGCTATGTTTAGAAAACAATGTCTTACTACAAATTGACGGTTCATTCGCCTGTAAAAGAGCCTCTCTAACAGTCCTAGAGCAGCTGCCACTCTTTTGCATCCCAGTTCCTTTATTTGCTGCACATTTCCCACTTGGAAAACCTGAGCAAATGCTGCGCGGGCTGCAAAGCTTCCCGCTGCCACACAGGAGGCTCAGAGAGGTGCAGAAAAGCCCAGAAAAATCTGTAGCTGTTTAGATTGTATATCTCTATCAGTAAATTAAACTCTGACTGTCTGTTTTGCAACAGCCTGCATCGCCTCTGTGAACTCTTTAAACCCTAACCCGAAGGGGATGCAGGCACTGCTGTGAGTGTGACCGCAGGGCAGCAGTAAGACTCCTGATAATGCCCTTCGGAAAGCAGGATGACGCAAAAAGTGGGACGTGAAGAGACTTGTTGCAGATAAAACAGGAGCTTGTATTGCTGATGGGCTTTTTCTTCCAGTGGCCAACAGCAGCACAGTCAGGATCTACTGAAATCATGTAGGCTCCAAAGGCATCTACGGGGTAGCTGTACTGGCCAGCTGAGGTTGCAGACTGTGTGGGTGTAGTGCCCCTTGCAAACACTGGGAGGTAACAGAACCGGGCAGTCCTGACGGCATGGCACTCTTGGGCTAGCTACACAAGTATTTGCACTGGCCTCTGCAAACATTTTGCACCAAACTCTGTGCTGGGGCAGCTGTACATTTAGTGGTGTCTGAGGGCTGCTCCCACATCCTCTGACAGTGCCCTGCCAACAGAGAGCAGAGCCTGCTCCCTCTTTCTGCAGCTGGCTCACCCTCACCTCTTTTGCCATCTTCTCTGCTCTCCTCTGCAGCAGGATGTGGCTGTGTTGCCTTGGGCTGCCTTTCCTCTTTGGGTTCATTTTTTAGTGACTGAGGCCTGGAAAAAAAACAGAAATTGTTGATCAGAAAGAAAATTTCCTAATGTCTTGGAAGAGTCAATATTTCTCATGAAAATGCATTTTAACTCAAAAAAAAAAAAAAACCAACCAACCAAACAAACAAACAAAAACATCATCTGAAGCATTTTCTTTCCCTTTTGAAGCAGAACACCCAAATTTGTAGCTCATATCCCAAACTGAAAATGCATTCAGAAGAGTATTTATAACCATCTCTGATTCATTCAAATCATCTAGGTTTAAGCAGTTCTTAACCTGACAAGTATTGCTGTCATGGCAAAACTGATTTTCTAGCACACTTTAAGTCCATCCCTTTGCTTTATCTCCAGAATTTCAGAGTGCATTAAGAGGTCAGTGACACATTAAGAGCATGATCTGTGTCAGCTATCCTTAACATGTCTCATTCTACAGGACATCCCATAGACACAGATATAAAAAATATTTTCAAGATGAACTTGCATTTGCAAACTGTTTTTCCGCCTGTCACCTTATAAAATATCTTTGTAAATGTAACACAGCAGTCGGCAGTCTTTCAGCTGGAAGCTTGGTTCGTACACAAAAAAGCACATAATTGCCAAGTGTCAGTTATACATGGGCCAAAATCTTGGGGAAAATTCTGAGTGTTCTTGTGTAGCTTCATGCAGTCCTTTTTAATGTCCCCACCAGGATGAGCTGGGGATTTCCAGCACCTCCAGCCTTGTACGTAAAACTGTGGAATTTTTTACCTCTCAAAAATCACTTGTTTACAGGGAAGTTTGGACACGGCCACCTCTGTGCCTCTCAATCGCCCTGCCAGGTTGCTTTAGGGATTCAGAAGGCCCCATTCTTTTTTATTTTCCCCAAACATGTCGTTTACCCTTCAGTCCATAGAACAAGGGTGA